GTGGCAAAGAGGCCGGAGCTATCCGCCTCCCTACCTGAGGGGAAGGGTCACTAGCCTGCCAGCCGAGGCAGCCACCAGGGAGTAAGCGCTGTCTCCCCGGTCAAGGGGGACTGTGGAGGAGACGTAGAAGCCTCTGGCAACTGAGGTAACTGGGTGACTGAAGCCCAGAGACATTGTGGGGTTCAGTCTCACCAAACTTACGGCTGTCGCATCTGAAGTAGTCTGGAACTACAGCATGCTGCCACCCAAGATCCACAAGAGGGCACTATGGGGTACAAGCCTCCCAGTGAACAGGACTAGAGGGGCCATGACCCAAACAAAAGGGACAGTGATAGGAAGTAGCCCAGGGCAGGGGATTTAGACTCCCTGCTAGGAGTCCCCTATTCAGGGATAGATGCGTGCAGGACCCTGGGCTGGGACCCGGTGGAGAGGGAGGGCCTGGATTTCCCTACCCCACTGCCTAAAAGACTGAGCCAAATTGACCTTGAAAACCAGGGGCTGGAGGTCAGGCGCACCAATCACTAGGCAGCCCGGCCCATCAAGCACCCTGTTACAAACCCAAACTGTATTCCCACTGCAAATGTGCAGCTCCAGCTGAGATGCAGGCACAGTTTTACAGAAAGGTGCACAGAAGGGACTTTTGCTCTGATACCCTTTGTTTATGTGCTGCTTCCTCCTCCTGGTGAGGTTCAGAGGAGAGGGACTCCCTGCTGTGCACTTGCTAGGTGTGCAGCACAAGGCATTGCAGTTGTTATTACCGGGTTAGGAAATTTACATTGGTGAAGGTCAATTTGTTTTCTGAAGAGTTTAAAAGTCCTGGCAATGAATTTCTGTAAAGTTTCCACCCACCCCAGCTTTTTTTAATTTTTTAAAATACTAAGAAATTGCATACAACCCCTCCCCCATGTGAAGAGTGTATCCATGTTTGTCATTGAAACACTCAAAATCCAAGAAAGGGTTGAGATTAAACACTGCCCTGAGCTTCCATTGCCAGGGGGAGCTGCTAAAAGTATTGGAACTATAGGAAAATATTCTACTCTTCCTTGTGCTATGTCAGAGGAAGATATTACTCCCACTAAATGTTAAGAAAAGATAAATTAAAAATAAAATGTATAATGGGTCTGTAGCTGTAATGTTAACTATCGAGTCACAACAAATGACTCCATAATGTGATATTTCTGGGCTGTGTAGGGTTGAGGTATATTTTTGTCTGAGCTCTCTATGCTACGCTAGATCTACAGGGTATCAGAGATTTTGAAATTTTCTATTACTGGTTGGTCCAAAATGTGAGAAGTAACAGAGCAGACAGGGGAGTGCTCTCAGATAAATCTAATTCTGGCCAAGCTGGGAGAATCTGTCCATTCCTCAATCATCCTATGAGGATGGCAAAGGGGCTACATAAATGCCCCACCCTCTGTACCTCTGTGGTTGGGTGTCTGGGTCTGGATTTTGGCAGGAGCGTAACATTTTCAAAAGAGCCTCAGTGTCTTAGGAGCCTAAGTGACATTTTCCTTTTCCATTTTCTCTCCTATCTGCATTTTTAGACACATTCAGAAGGAAATGAAAAGGAAAGACGTGGCATTGAAACAATTGGAAATGAGATAATGAAAATGATTCAGTCACACAGGGGGCTCCTCAGTGGCCAGAGCCATGAACTGTAATAATTACAGCTCATTAATAACAATCATTAAAGGAGTCGTTCTGGTTTTTGTTCATTTCTCCTTAGGGTCACAGGCACACGATGCCCTCTGTGTTCAAGCCCTTTTGTCTCAGGGGATTTGCCTTTCAGGACTGAGCTGGCTGATTCTTACCTGAACAGGTCACTCCAGCATCCTCTCTGTGATTGCAGTCACTCTGACCCCATCCCTTGTTCCCGCAGTGCCAGAGAGCAGACTCGGTACCATCACAGGCAACTTCATCCAGCCAAATTGTTTCAGATCCTTCTCCGAAATGAGCCAGGCCAGGGGCACTGACAGCAGCTCCACATTTCAACTGCTTACAGACAACCCCAGCATCTGCCATGTCCCAGCGATCATCACACACCGTCCCCCACTGATCCTGGTGTTTAACCTCCACTCTCCCGGCACAGGGGCTGCCTCCATCCGCCAGCCTCAGCTCATCGGCACCTTCAAAGAGAGACACAGAGCAGGGTCAGAGTGAGCAGGGAGCCCCCTCCCCAGCATTATCACAGCAGAGTCCGTGCCCGGCAGCAGGGGATCCGTGCGCAGAGCCAGGAGAACGGGACATGCCCAAAGCTGCCTTATGGTTCCACCTTCTCACATCTCAGGGCCTCACATTCGGGGCTGTCAGTGCTGCAGCTCTCACCATTTTATCCCCACTCTGGTGGTTTGGGGTGTTTTCTACCTGTCTCATGAGAACACGGCGGAAGGCACCAACTCACGGAGTTTCCCTTATTCCAAATGGCACCATCTCCTGTCACTGTCACTGGGGCTGAAGCCAGCGAGATGCCGCCATCTCCCTACAGTCTGTCGGCATGTGGGAGTGAATAAAGCTGTCTGCCACCTACCAGTAAAGCCCACAGGGAACATGGCTGTCTGTGTGTTGCTAAGGGGGCTGGAGAGGACCCAGGGACCATGAAGGACAGCAGAGACCCAGTGAAAGGAGGATGGTGAGAGTGAGGGGAGCAGAGCACTGGGGGGACAGGAGGCAGATTCAAGGCTTGCAAGGGGAAGGGGTGCAGGTGCTGTGTGGGCCGGAGGGAGGGGCTGGGAGGGGGTTCTGGTGCAAGGGAAGGAAAGAGGGTGGGGAAGGGAGATAGTCTGTAGCAGGAGGGACAGAGGGGAGGAGAGTCTGGAAATGGGGGTAGGAAGGGGCAGGAGTGAGGAGGTGGGTCTGGAGTGAGGGGTGGGAAGGAGGTCAGAAAGCAGGGGCAGGAGGGAGAAATGGGGAGGGGAGGGTGTCTGCAGTGGGGGTTAACAGGGAAACAGGACAGAGGGTCAGAAGGGACGGCAGGGGACAGGGATCTGAAACTGAGGCAGGAGGGAGGAATGGAGATAGAGCACAGGGAGGGAGAGCAGGGAGCATGGGGCTGGAGGGGGTTATTGAGCAGGGGGAAGGGGGGAGGAGAGGACAAGGGGGTTTAGAGAAGGGGATCTGCATGGAGAGGTGGAGAGAGGAGGGGATCTGGAATGGGGGACAGGAGTGAGAAGTGAGGAGGGAGTGAGGAATCAGGGGCAGGAGGGAAAGAGGGGAAGGGAGAGAGCAGAGAGGGGGCAGAAGGAGGCATGGGGAGAAAAGGGGGCTCTAAAAAGGGGGGAAGGAGGAGGTGGGGTGGGGAAGGGTGATCATATGTAGGGGGAGGAGTGAGGGGGGCCTGAAGCAGGGCAGCAAGAGGATGAGGAGGGGATGGGTGTGGACCTGAGGATGGGAGTGAGGGGAGGTAGCCTGGAAAAGGGGAACATGAGGGAGTATTAGGGAGGATGGAGGAGTCGGGATGGGTCAGGAGTGGGAGGGGGCAGGAGCGAAGGAGAGATGGGGAGGAGAGGGGAGGAGGCTTTAGATTGTGGGGTGTGCTTCACAGTTTCAGGTAGAGAAGTTGCAGGGTGGTGTGGGGTGAGCCAGGGAAGTGTTGCTGTTTGCAAATAGCTAGATCAATCCTGTTACGGTGACATTATAGCTGATGTTGAGGTCTCCGGTGTCTCTGTCTGTAACTCACCCCTGACCAGTAACAGAAGTTCTGTGTGCGAGTGTGAACCATGCTGCATGAATTAGCTCAGTGGCTGTCAACTATTTCCCAGCCAGCCCTTCATCTGTCAGAGAACTGAACCAGGAGGGGAGAGCGAAGGCAGTGCTGGGCAATGAACGGCAGTTCCTGTCTCAGGGGCAAGGGGAGGGAAGCGCAGTCACCAGCTGAGCAGCCAGGGGGAGTCGGGCAGTTTGGGTGCATTAAATGGTGACTTTGCAGCCTGCGATTCTCACCCCCACTCTGGCAGAGGAGTAGAGGGGAGTTCTACAGTCCATATACAGACTGAGTAGCATGACGGGATGGTTTTTATAACCTCAAAATGTTTGTTCTGTGGAACCTAACATTACAGCCTTGTGCTCCCCACCGGATCTTCCTCTCCCCACCTGCCCCAAACATTTCCCTCTTCCATTGGTCTCTTCCCACCCTCCTCCCCTGGGCTCTTCCCCCTCCTCTTCTCCCCTTTCTACCTGGCCTCTCTGACCTGCATGTACAGGCTGCTCCTTCCCCAGATGAGCAGCAGACTCTGCCCCCACTTCCTGCCAGTGGCTTTTCTTCCAGTAGCTCTGAGTTCCACCCCCTGCCCCCCAGTTGTCTCGAGTTTTTTGTATCTCTGGGGGTTGTGGAGAGGCAAAGCTGGCTGCTGGGAGAGAGGCAGTTAACAGGGAATGTGAGGATGGGCCACTGCCTGCCACACAGTCCTGGGAGATTGGCTGGGAGAACTGGTGCGCAGGACAGGGTGTGAAGAGCCAAGACTCTCCCTGAGGCTGGGAGCAAGTACGGGCATCATTACAATGCCCATGAGTTACAGCTACATGCAGAGTTCCACTGTGACCCCTGGAACGGGCTGGTTGCAGCAGTGGATGGCTGAGTCGGAGACATCATGTTTATGAAGCCTCCATGGAGCTCAGAGAACTGCTCCTTTAATGCCAAGCAGAAACAAACCGCTCACTTTGCTGCAATCCACAGGGGTGTTTATTCAGGTACAGCTCACTTCAGTGCAGTCCCACAGGCAACCCATGAGGCCTGGTCTGCACTAAGAAAAAAGGGGCTTTTTTTTCAATGGAGTTAACTCAGTGATGTTCACTCCTGGCAGGACCCAAGGCGATAACACTGATCTAGCTAAGTGCACACACAGTTCTGTTTCCCTGCACACAGTAGAAACTAACAACAGCTGGCAGTTTCCTTGCTCAGAAATCCCCAGCCTGCCCCTCCAACTGGCTTTGTTTCTTTTCTGCTTCCAAGATCCCGTTCACGACTCCTTCTACTGGCTTCTCCCTCCAACAGACACAGTCTGACACCAATATCCTGGCCCCTGCATTGGCAACAGTGGAAACCCCTGGCTAGCTCTGCCCTGCCCATGTGCCCCGTGACTTTGGCAGTAGCTCCCACTGTCTGCAGCTGTTTTTACTCCATAAAGGATTTTGATTGCTCTGTCTTTTGAGCCTAAAAGAGAGTTTTCACCCTGCCATTGGCTTTCATGAGGTCTGTGATTGTCTTAGGATCGAAGACTCCCTGATGGCAGCCATCAACACCTTTCAGGATAACAATCACATTTACATACTGCACCTATCATATACTGGCTCCATGTCTGTGGCCCAACTTGGAATAATGACCCCACCCAGCACTCTGAACGTTGGCGAAGTTCAGATCTGGGTCTAGGAGTGTAACCTGCAGCTTTGGCCTACCCCTGATATTTTCTCACTTGTTTGCCTGGACCCCACATCATTTTACAAATTTGTTTTCCCGCACAATGTAAATAGGTCAATAATTGTGAAACACGATCTTCTGGCTAAGACTGACCTGGCCTCTGCTCAGGGAGGAGGATTGGGGCACTGAGGGAAAGGGAAAATAGCTACATGGTGATATCCCCTATATTGTAAACTCCCCTGTGTCACTCTGTCTGTGTCATGTGAAGCAAACTCAAATTTCCCATAGAAAATAAAAAATATCAAAGGGATGATGCACATTTCCTCATCAATCAAACAAAAATACATTGAGCTGAACATGTGCTTGGCATCACTGTATGACACCATCTCACAATTGTGCAGTAATTTATCCTTCACGTGGTAATAATTGTCCGTCCCCTGCAATGTCAGTCTGATCACCAGAAGTCAGCATCGAATTCCCTGCTTTTCGGTCATATACAGCTGTGTTATGGGCTGTAACCCCAGCACATTATATTTGAACTTCTTGGGAATCTGAAATATAAACTCCAAATAACCTGCTAGACGGTTTACTTTTCTCAGGATTTTCTGGGTACCAGCCCCATAATCACCACACTGAGCTGTCTGTGAGATATCCATTAGGGCAGGTTTTTCTCTAAGACAATAATTTAGACTGACATTTCTGATTATCAAGGTCAGTGTCAGTTTCTCAGGCTGGCACAGCAGCACATCGGGGTCCCATGAACAGGGCCGGCTCCAGGCACCAGCAGACCAAGAAAGAGCTTGGGGCGGCACCTTAGAAGGGGCGGCCAATGTTGGGGTGGCGGGGGCGCTTGCGGTGTTTTTTTTGTTTGTTTGTTTCGGCCGGGCAGCACGAGGGATGTTTCGGCAGCCCGGCGCGGTGCTGGGGGGTTGGGCGTCCCGGCCCGGCGTAGCGGGGGTTTGGGCGGCCTGGCCCAGCGCTCCAGGGGTTGG